AATGCGAATTAAAATGAGCAAGGGGATGGTCAGGCACCCGGGGCTGTGCTCACCAAGTTATCGACACAAGCAAACTCTTCACTCAGGGTGCAGCAGGTTGCCAGCGCTGCCGCCATTTCCTTACTCAGGGAGATCAGTTCTTCCACAGAGAGCTGAGGGGCTGCCTTGGAGAACTTGGCAAGGTAACTGAAAGAACACACATCTGTTCGGCTCTGGATGAAGCACATACACCTTTGAACAGCGACTACCAATCTCATGAGAGTCAGTGCCAAAACAGCCTGGCCTTCCTGCCATGATAGAACGTCCTTGGCAGGAATGACCTTGGCCGGTAAGTAAAGCTCTTGGAATATTTTGTGTTGACACTAAATAGTCTTAAAGGAACATTTGACAGACATGTTAGGAATAAGATAAAGAGAACTAAGATCTGTAGAGGAACTTTAATTCAGAACATGGCTGTTCTGACAAGAGATCACATCCAAAGACCTTCTAGGTCTGTGTGATCCTGCTGGAATACAAACATGCCTTTAAATCCAGGAGACAGTGGCAAGCAGATCTGAGTTCAAGGCCAGTCTGGTATAGAGCAAGTTTCAGGCAAAGAAAAGCTTAGGTCCAGGTGTGGTGGAACATGCCTTTAATCCCAAACAATGAAGGTAAAGTTAGTTTGTAGAAGGAAGCCCCATGTTTGGAAGTGATGTCTTATTGGGTGGCAGAAAAAAAGTAACAATTCAGAGAAAGACTTGACAGAGTAGGATATGCCCAACTCTCATGAGGAGAGGAAAGGGAAGCTACTTAAGGGGCAATGGGAGAGAGACAGAAAGACAGACAGAGACAGACAGAGAGGGGAGGCAGTTTTACCAGGAAAGTCTTTCAGAGACAGGTTGAAGAGAAAGAACAAGCTAGACTCAGCTGAAGACCGAATGAGCCAAAGAGTGAGAAGGAGCTAGGAGATTAGGGAAGATTGCTGGAGTAAGTTTGAGGCCAAGCAGAGCAATTCAGAGGCTGAGAGGCCAGACTGAATAAGCTGGGAGAGGAGTTTGAGCCAGAACAGCTGAGTTGAATCAGCCAGCCCAGAGTCCAGGAAAAAAAAAAGAGTGAGTTTATTCAGCAGTAAGCCTCAGAGGCTGAAAACATTCTAGGCCTACGTTTGATTGTACGGAGGCTAGACGCTTTCAGGATTAGGCCTAGGTTAGCAGACGGAGGAAATAACAACCGAACCAGGAGAATAAAAGTTCCTTTTACAGTGCTGCTAACACTCCAGTGACTCACAGAGACCCTGCTTCAGACAGGTGGAAGGCTAGGACTGACACTCGAGGGTGTCCTCTGCCCCCCACATCCTCACACACCCACATACTCAAATATGTACACATGAACGCATTGCACACCCATCAGAAAGGCACAGTGAAAACGTATTTCTTACATTTTCGCCACTTTTGCAAATCTCATTTTGTTGTATGTCTGGACTTGATGTTCATGTGTTTATCTTAGAGTTTTCTCATTCAAGCTATGACATTTTAAATATGTGTACCTTATAAAATTTGGATATTCGTTTATGCTAGTTGCTAAGAGGAATTTTATTTTTTCCTTTTAAAATTTCTAACTTAAAAAAAAAAAGCTTTATTTTTGTTTTATGTGCATATGGGTATTTTCCATGTGTGTGTATACCATGTATGGGTAGTACCCCAGAGTGTTTTCCTTGCGTGTGTTTGTGTATGTGTGTATCACACATATACCGCACCCTATAGGGCCAGAAATGGGTCAGATCCCTTGGGACTGGAGTTACAGATGATTGTTAGCTGCCAAGTGGGTACTGGGAATTGAACCCTGGACCTCTGGAGGAGACGTGCTCTTAGCCACTGAGCTATCTCTCTCAGTGACGTTTCCAAACAGGATTGGTGTGGAAGGGCTTGAGCTTGTCCATCGAACCTGAGACTGAGGTGGAGATAGAAAGTAGCAGAATGCTTTTCCGTTTCTTCTGCTGTGTGTCAGCCTCCATGCTTTTCCAGCAAATCCTCACAGGGCTATGGTTATGTGCATTGGGAAGCTCAAAATTTTGGCTGCCCTGAGCATGCATAGGCCTGGAAACAACCATGGAAGTGCTGTATTGGCTTTCGCATCTGGGAAAGCACATGAGTTCAGAATTACAGAATCCACACACAATGAGGATTTGCTGTATTTGGAAAGGCCTTGAGCATCAAGAAAAACCTTCCCATTAAGCATACTGCAGAAAAAGGACTTTTGTTTACCGTGTGCAAGCTGGAATGACTCCAGAATGGTGCCTTTCCAAATGCAGCAGTGAAATGCTGTCATAGGTGCATGATGATGATGTGTCTTATAGAAATCATAGAAGATGAGTTTCCTCCCTGCCCATGTTGTGATGCTACTGGCTATGAGTTCAATCCCGAGGAAACAACAGCCCGTATTACATAAGCACCTGGCACGAAGACATGCACTCAGCAAGGCTGTGTCTCAGTTGGTTAGTTGATTGGTTAGTGGTGTGGCCAGGGGCTCATGGGAACCCTGAACTTTTCCTGGAGTGACATTGATACAGTATGCACCAATTCAGTGTTTAGACTGAGAATCAACTGTTTATTTTGTCACATATTTAATGGCTTTCTTTTCAAAACATTCCACTTATTAGCATTTTCCCATTTAGGGATAATGAACTCTAGATATACCATCATTGGAAATAAAAAAAAAAGTCAATTATAATAATTGTATGTTTTTTTCTTATGTATTTGGTCTTCTTTTTAATTAATTTGCTCTGAAAAGGAATGGTTTGATTTATTGGCCTTCTCCAAAACAAAATCTTGGATTTACTTGCTGGGTTTATGCTTTTAATCACATTGACTCTCTTCCTTCTATCACAGATGTGTTGCTTCTATCACAGATGTTTTCTTTGTCTTCTTGGTGGAATTTCCATTCTTTTAAAAGTAACTGAATTAAAAACTATTTGATTTGAACAATAATTTATTCCCCCCCCCCTTTTCTTTTGCCGGGGACTGAATTGAGGGCTTTGCACTCCCTAAGCTTTTGCTACACCAGTGATCAAAACGGCCAGCCCAGCCATTTCTTTTGTATCCTATCCTCCACTATTCCTGTTATCTTGATCTGTTTCTTTCTTGAGTGAGTCATTTCTCCTACTGCTCTGAGGAGAGATCTTAAGTGCAGGTGTCCAAGCCTTGTCTACTGTTTCCAGCGCTTGCTACATCACACCGTGCTGATTCACAGCTCCACACTGACCAAACCTAACACCTATCAGCAATGTTGTTATAATTTAATATCCTTGTGTCAACCACTGCACTCAGGAAGGCTCTCTTGGCTTCTCTCTGACTCTGCAGCTCCGCAGGAACAACCATCTAAGACTATGAGGTCATTGCCACTGTCACTAACTTTTTAAGTGCTAGTGCCTGATGCTGAGCCTAACCATTTCAATCTTATCAAGAAAACACTTAGAGCAGCAGTTTTCAGCCTGTGGCTTGCGGCCCTTTAAGGATCGCATATCAGATATCCAGCATCTGAGATACTCACATTAGGATTCATAACAGTAGCAAAATTACAGTTATGAAGTAGCAGTGAGAACAATTTTATGCAGAACTGTCATAACGGGTCGCAGCGTGAGGAAGGCTGAGGACCCCTGACTTAGAGCATCTAATCGATTCTTGACAGATATTTTGTTTATTTCCCACAACATTGAATATTGGTCTAATACTTTTTTTTTTTTTTTTTTTTTTTTTTTTTTTGCAGACTAGGATGTTAAAGCACAAAAAGTGAGAAAGTTCCCTAAATTTCCAGAGTCAGGAGGTGGCAATTCAAAGGCAGTGCCTAACTGTCAACCGCTGCATTCATTTATTTCTCCACAACAGATGGTGATAGAAAATTTCACCTCAGAGTATCCATGTTCTTATGCTTTCTTCCATCAGATTTCCCCTCTTCTTTTCTTACAATCCTATGAAATTCATTGTTTCAGGCATCTCTGTTCCGTGTGTGTGTGTGTGTGTGTGTGTGTGTGTGTGTGTGTGTGTTTGCGTGCACTGGTAGAACTGGAGAGTCACCCAGTAAGGACTCTGTCTTCTTTTCCTGTCTAGGCCGTTTCCGGACATACATCGTATTTCCTGACTGTCTGAAAACTAGGTGAGGCCACTTGCCTGAGTCCTGGTTGAAAGTTATTCAGACATTTGAGGTCAAGCTCTCAGCTGTCTCCTAGGCTCCGTCCTATAGCATACTTCCTCCTATTATAAGCATGGGCTACGGGCCCTGGAGGACAGTTGATGAAATATCTAGATTTCTAGGCTCCTTGACAAAGAACCATAACAGGGACACATAGTTAGAAATAGAGATTGTTTCTTCTGAAAGGGAAAGAACGCTTGAGAATAGCAATGGGCAGGTGATTTAAGGGGAAAAGCACCCTCCAACGTCACCCTCCACCTCCCCCAACCCCACGCATCAGGCCTCCACAACACAACCCTTTGTAGGACCTGTCCACAGTACTGCAGCGTGCTCTGTTCATTAGTGAAGTCCAGGTGAAGAAGGGCTCCCTATCTGTCTTTCTCTGAAAACTGGCTTCTTTTGTGTTCATCTTGATGTTTCAGTCTTTAGTGCCTACTCTCCCTTCACAGTCTCTTCCTAGTAGCTTTTAACACTAAGGCCAATGCCAAAAGCCACAGGTAGCAAAGCTGGTCTTCTCTCCTGGAGGAGGTTCACCTTTTCTCCCTCACAGGAGGGAGCTACAGCCTGATTGTGCTGAGCCGCTGAGAACACACTAGCTCCCTGGCAACCCAGAGCACACACTTCCCTCAGAGGCTCAAACTGACCCATAATTTGGCGTCTGTATACCACTCTCAGACTTAGAGTTTCAGGTTTTTCTTTCCTAGATTTTCCTAGCACCTGCTAAGGCTTTGGGCAAAGCTCCCTGTAAGTGCCTTACAGATAGATGCCTGACGTCATTCTGAACTCAACAGCCACAGGAAATCCTTCAGTTTCACTCTTCAACCACCAGGCACATCTGTTTTTGACCCTGAAAGTCAGTTTCAGTGACTTATACATCCCATTCTCCCAAGCAATCCCAGATATCCACTCATCGCTTTTGCTCCCTTTTGTCAACATTTTTTTTCAGCTCTACCAGTCAGTAGCCCCTACTGTAACCAAGCCTCAACTCATTTTCTCAACAACTCTAAGATGACCCTTTCCCAGCCATGTCATCCTTTCTTCTAAGATTTTTATATACATACAAGAACAAATAATTCTAGAAGTCTTTGCTTTTACTTGTTTTAAATTAACTTCTTGTCCTTCATGACTTGGGGCATTCAAGACCATCCCTGTGACCTCCATCTTATTTAGGCTGCCTGTTTCTCTGATTTCTTCCAAGGAATCATATTGAACTCCTAAATATTACCATTTTATGATTGCTTAGTTATTTGACTCTTTGAGGAGGTCATGTAGAGACTAGCTCATTCACACATAGAACCAATTATCTGTGGATTTAAGCAGATGTAATTAGGACAGCAACATGGAATACATTGAGTAACAAAGAGAGAGAGTGTGTGTTGTAGTTCTGAGACAAATGCTTCACAAATAGAACCCTCTGTTTGTAGTTTTTGGGCTAAATGTGGAAGCATCATTAATGCAAGCTGTCTTCTCCTATCTTCTTATAATAGGTAGATAAATGTTTGAGACACTAAGTAAGGTCAAAAAGACATTTACTTCTTTCCAAAATGAGTTATGATGAATGTTTCTTTGGGTTTTCCAGTTTGTCTGGGGTAAAGCGCTGTGTGGTATCAAGTTTTCCAGTATTCTAAATTACAGCAAAATACGTTGAAAATGAAGCAATCAAAGAATAACTGCCCCTCCCCTCTTGTCCCCCAGGACCAGCTTATGAACTATACCTGCTCTAACCAGGCCATTTTATCCAAGTTCGCCGAGTGCTGTGAACTGCCAGAACCATTCCGTGGGGAATGCATCATCAACTCGGAAAATGACGACAAACCCAACCTTTCACCCCTGCCGCTCAGGAGGTTTTCGGAGGACCAGTCTGTGTGCGAACGCTTCCGTGGCCAGCAGGACGACTTCCTGCAAGAGTAATACAGCTTTCCTCCTAGAGCTTACGGATTCCTTTGAGAGCAGCTGCAGACGTGAACGAAAACGGGGCCAGGAATGGACAACACGGCCGAGAGGAGTCTGAAAGTTGTCGGTAGCTGTTCAGCTCCGCTCCTCACGCCGTGCGGGAATGTGGGTTCGGTGGTCGGGAGTAACACGTGAAGGGGAATCTAGAGGGTCCTTTATTCTCAAATGCTGACAACTGGTGTACGGCTCTAAGAAAAGAGCGTGATGATAGTCAAATGTTATGAGCACTGGGCTGAGGGGTTTAGAGATAAATAAGAGGAAAATAGGTATTTTCCTATTGATTCCTAAAGAGGATCAAATTGGTATTTCTGGCAAGCACGTCTTATTAATATTCACTCATGCACACGACATTTAAGAGTTAAAGAGTCGGGATATTAGCATCATTGGTCGCCATTCGTGCATTCAAGCAAAGTGATTCCAACATATAATATCAAAACAATAACACTGCACACTTAAAAGGCTTCCAGAGTCACTTGGCCACGAGAACAGAATCTTCCTCAAAGTTAAACGACCTAAGTTATATTTTACAAATTACGCCTGATACTAGCTAATAAAATTGAATGGCACTGTCTGAACCCACTCATATAAATTCTTCGTCTTCCATTTGGTACTGAGAAGTCAACGGACTTGTGCTGACTAGACTCGGTAGAAAGGCAGTTGAAACTGTCAGTTGTGGGAACCTGTCTGGTCTGTGTGGCAGCTTGAACTCCCAGGCAGGGTGCTCCAACCGAGAGCTGAGGTAGTCGAAGAGGAAGCATCAAAGGTCTCGTCTTAATCCTGGAAGAGTTTTGAAAACGTTCAAGAATCCATTTTCTTTTCCTTTCTAAAAAGATTCATTATTATCATCGTCATTATTGTTGCTATTAATTGTGTATATATGTGTGTTTCTGTGCTTACTGGGGCTAGCAGGGTCAGATTCCCTGGAACTGGAGTTACATGCAGTTGTGTGCTCCTGGATGTGGGTTCTGGGAACCAAACTCTGGTCCTCGCTCTTAACCACTGGGCCACCCAGCCCCCATTTTTTTTTCTGATGACCCAGATGAGTGTGTAGATTACAAATGTACTATTCACACTTAATTGCTTATTTGAAAAAAAAGGGGAAAGATGGTGATTTAATGCCTCAAGACTATACTCACAGGAGGTCTTCTTTTTTTTTTTTAAGTCCCAAAGGTAACTGGAAAATACATCTTCACATATAAACACTTGAAACTGAGGTCATATGGAAGTATCTATATTCTGAAGCAGAAATGACTACTGAGCCAAGGTCTTTCAGGTTCAAGTGCTGAATCTGCCATTCCCTATCGCATGAGTTTGGAGAATTATGTGATTTTACCAAGTTGGTTTTCTTATCTCAAAGCGTAGCAATAAAAGCCCCTCTGACAGGTTCCCAAGTTTTCTAAATGCCTTAAAGTCAATTCAATTTCATGGTCTCCTTGGCTTTTTGAAAAGCAAAGCAAAATAAAACAAACAAACAAAACAAGACACAAACTTATGGCCTGTGGGTTTTATTTTTGTCTTCTCATGTGTCTCATACAATGCAGGTTTCTTTATGAATATTCAAGAAGACACCTGGAGTTCCAGTGATTTTAAGAGTGTTTGCAACATATGAATATTTACTGGAGAAATGCTGCAAGTTAGAAAACCCGGTGGACTGCCACAGCCATGGGGTGAATTCCTTTTTTATTCATTTAGTTTTTTTAAACATGTTTCTCACAAGAAGTTACAAACAGTGTAAGTCCCAGTGCTGTTGGCAGCACATCCTTTTGTAAAATGAGTTTTACATATTTTGGTTAATCACGAGCACGAGGCAAGAAGCAGAATTCTCCCTAAACCAAGAGCACGTCATCACATGTACCATGGGGACTTGTCTGTCTTATAGACTGTTTCCTGAGACCCCTGTAGAATCCTTACTGAAGAGAGGATTGGCACAGTAGCAGGATGGTACAGCCCATCTGGGTCCCATGTCTTGGGAAAAGGCTTCCCTTGCAGCTAGCAGTCTGCTGGACCACAAGCAGCAGCTCTTGTTATGCATTTTTACGGAGAAGCTAGAGTCGGAACAAGCTTCAGCTTCGATAGTTATCCATGCAACACCAAGGCCTAGGCAGCTCCGATTTTTGTTATGTTAACTGATGGTTTACACACAGGAGACCATGGTGGCAAGAGTGGATAGGAAAGACGTATCTTTCAGTGTGTTTCTAGAGAGAAAGTTATGAGGCCTTGCACCCTCTCAGAACATCACTGTTAGGCTTCTGTGCTGGACAGTTTTATGTCAACTTGACACAAGCTAGAGTCATCAGAGAGGAGGGATCTTGTAGAACGCTTTCTTAGTGATTGAGGTGGAAGCCCAGGTCCATTGTGAATGGGCTGGTGGCTGGGGACAGGGGACAAAGGGTGGAAGTCCTAGTTCTATAAGAAGGCATGTGAGCAAGACAAGGGGAGCAAGCCAGTGAACAGTATTTCTCCTTGGCCTCTGCGTCAGCTCCTGCCTTCAGGTCCTGACTTCCTTGATGATAAATGGTGGAAGCAAAGACCAAATAAACCCTTCTCCTCCCCAAGTTGCTTTGGTCACGGTGTTCCATCACAGCAATGGTAAGGACAGCTTCTCCAGTGATCCAGCTGTGTCACAGTGAGGGTGCTGGGTTGGGCAGTGGTTGCATGGTTGCATGGTTGCATGGCAGCCTTACCATAGCACCCAGGTGAGTCTCTCAGTAGAGAAAACAGGCAAAATGCTACAGCTACCGAATGTTTTCTGTGGGTGAGAAGGCTACAGTTCAGAAGGTTAGGCAGTTTGCCTGACCTTACACAGGCAGTAAAGACAGGGGTAAGAATAAAATCCAGGCCAGCAGCTTGCAAATCTGAGGGAGTTTTCTCTGTATTGAATCCTGCTTATTAGGATAAGGTGCACTGTGTTGGCTTACTAAGGGGATGTGCTCCTGTCTAAGAATTGAGCCTCCATGGTTATGAATGTCCTCTTACTGGGGCCTATTTCATGGTTCAAGAATGCTTTGGTTTATCTTTAGCTCTGAAAACCCCAGTTCCTTTTGGTTCCATTTGTGGCATGTTTTATAGCCATGACTGATATGTTTATATTAAACCGTGACATCTAAGCATGCATCAATGTCTCCATACCTGTACATCTGTGCTTTTAGGTATGTGTTCATGTTGCTAATATAAGAAGCCTAATTATCAAATGGACCAGTGAATAGACAGACAGACACAGACACACAGAGAGAGATCTGAAAGCCACCTCTCCCTTTCTCTTTCTGGCTTGAGGAATGATCTACCTTGTAGTTATAGAATTTGACATCGAGGCCCACAGAAGGGTTTATATTATAGTAAAATGAAATCTCAGTCTCGCTGTCTCACTTGTTTTCCACAAAGCTTGTGATGATTTCTCTTTCAGAAAACCATGATCATTTTTCTTTGGGTTTTCCAAACCCACTAACTGCAAAAACCAAAAACAAAGAAAAAGCCAAACCAAAGAAATGACAGAAAAGCAAATGTAGTTATTTTTTATTAAAAATGTAGCAAATGTTTTTATTAACTATGAGGGAAAGTGTCTTTGTAATCCTACCTCAAGGCATATTGTCCTGACCCTGGAAAAACACAAGCAACATCTATTTTTTTTTTTTCCAGAAAGAGATGCTTCAAAGAGTGGTATTTGACAGCCGTGACCGTGTTAAAACTTACTGTGACTTGCATGAGAAGCTGGGCAGTCGTAACTTCCAGGACAGGTATGTTCCTGAGACGTCCCAGATTTGTCCCCGTCAGTGACTATTGATTAATTCCCAGTGCTAAGAGCTGCTCAGAGTTTTCATCCACTCTTCAGCTGAGTATTAGCCAGTCCTCTGTGCTGACTCAACAGATATTTATGTAACCTTGGAACCTCCATCCTGCTTCCAAGGCCAGTCCCCTGATGCCCCTGAGATAAGGGAATAAAGCAGGCCATGCAGGGCCACTGTGAACACTCATACCTGGCCATGGGGCTGTGACTCAGAATCAAACCTGCAGCAGAGATTAGAATCTAGGCCTCCTTTGTCCCTCACTGGGCAGGTTTTTCAGGTGGGGTTAGTATTTCGACCACCAAGCACAGAGCTAGATGAATGCCTTGCTTATCTGTCAAAAGGAATCTGAACACCTTGGGTACAGAGAGCCCATTGAATCCTATTTATTAAGGATTAAGTAATAAAAAAAAATAAAGTCCCCTTTAGGAGTCTCTGAGGTCTTTCTAGAATGCTCTATTTAGAAACACATTATCAAAGAAAAGTTCAGTGTGATACAGTATCTCACCATACTAAGTCTAAACTAAATGCCCAAAATAATGGATCACAGAAAAGTATCTTTTAGGCAGGTTTTTCGGTTTAATACCTGCCTTTTATGTTGTGTTCAGTTGCTGATGCCCACTGCAAAGATTAAATTTGTGGTTCTCCAAACTTAGAATGTGACAAAATCTTCCAGGAGACTCTAGAACTCAGGCCCCAGACTCAGAGTTTCTGGTTCAGGAAGTCTGAGGAGAGTCCTGCATTTCCAGCCCATCCCCAGGGAGGCTGACCCCGCTGTAGCAGGGTCGCTCCATAAGGTCTTCTGTCTCCCTTCTTCCATACGCGTTTCTGCTAGCAATGCAGCAATTAATTCTGGTCTTGAACGTGCGGTTCTATAGTCTTTCTCTTTCAAACCACTTCATGTCATTCCATCTTCATCACTGCTTTCCCAGTTCAGGTCATTTTTCTTTACCTGTGTTGCCAAAATGGCCTTAAAATGGTTCCATTCCTCGTTCTGACCCCTGTGAATCCCCCATGCATTCTTCTCAAAGAAGGCATCACCTTAAGACGATGTAAAGCTGATTTCATATCTAGCTTCCCCTCCCCCCGCCCCCAAACCCAAACCAAAACGATGGTGAATGACTTCCCACACCCTCCTCTCCTATCCCCTGCCCTTCACCCGACTCCTTCAGCAGCACTGGCATGTCTCAGCTCTAGTGACCTTCCCTTCGGAGGCCCTGCCTGACCTCCCAAAATGCGCACTAGGTCATCTTTTATGCACTGTTAGGGAAACACTGTTAAGAACAGAATTTGCCAAGAAAGAAGTCACTCCCCCTGGTCACAGCTAGGCAGGCAACCACACCACGCACAGTTAGTGGACTCATTCCGAACAACGACTCGTCCTCAAGAAGATCTGACAGCCCCACTCGCCAGTTTGACCGAATCTCCAGAGGTCAACAGTCGCCCACCCCCGCCCTACCCCTACCCTTGCCCCCAAAGCTCTTCTTACATCTCTAAGCAAGGAGATAGTTCTGCAACTTCCAGCAGCTAAGCTTCCCACAACTTCCCCAAGCCAAGCTTCCCGCCCCTGGAAGCTGGGAGAAACGGGAGGTGTCTATGTCCCCGGATCCTGGGCCCCTGAAGAAGGTAGTGCTGGCTCCTAAAGCTGACGAAAAGGAAGATGCGTTTTTCAATATGTTTCAAATAGCGTTGAAATCCTTAGGAGGAGAGGGAGGCCATTCCTTCGCTCGTTTTCCTTGGGAGACTTGAGCCCTTTGGAGGTTCTGACTCGGCTCCCAGGACCAGCAGCGCTCTGCGCTGCCCATACCCCGTACTTGTCTGCCCCTGCTCGCTGGGGTGTGAATCCCCGGAGAACAGGGCCAGCTTCCTCGCGGTTGCTGTGCTGCTGCCCCGCACAGTTTCTCAGATAAGTTGGCTAAAGCAGGGTGTGGGTGGGATGAGGATGACGAGAGTGAGCGAGAAGAAGTTATCCTTTCAGGCTCACAGTCCTGCATACTAAGAGAGCCCCACAGATGTCTGCCCAGGAGCTGGTGGTGCTGACGAAGAAGACGGCAGCGGCTGCTAGCAGGTGTTGCCCACTCAGGGCTGAGCGCCAGTCCGCCTGCGTGGAGGACCAGGCAAGCACACTCGTGAGCGACACGCCTGCCACCGCCCTGAGGTTCTGCTCCCCGGTCCCTGGGAATGAACCTCATTTCTCTGGATGTCTCTAAGACCTACCAGAGGGCATTAGGAATTCCCAGAGAGAGTCTTTGCAGGCAGCTCACGCCAACTCTTTAATTAGCAGCAGGGAGGACCGTCCCCTCTCAAACTCCTGTCATTAGATTCACAAAACTTTCCCCTGGGTCGTATACAAGGTGCTTGGGTCTTAACGTTGACGGAACTGACTTGGTTAGCTGTTTCAAAGATAACTGCAGGTGTTCGTCTAATGTTGGAGGAACCACAAGGGTTCCTCAAGGCAGCGGGGTCCTCAAGGCCCTGAGATTTAGCTTCTAGGTCTCCCAAGATGCATGGATTCAACATTTCTGGTCCCTTGTTTGGTGATAATTTCCTCTGTCCTATTTTCATAGTGGATTGTATCCTGTTTGCTACCCTGCTATGCTATAGCCTTTCTCCTAATAAAGTATATTTATTTGAATTAATAATCAAAAGTTATCATCCAGCCCTGCCTCCACTTTAGCTTTAAAAGTTTTTTTTGGCATGAAATCATGCCTTCCTCGGGGAATTCATTTGATTACATTTGTATGTTCCCAGAGCCTTGCTTTGGGGAAATTGTCTTGGCTACTTCTAAAAATAGATACATTCGTAATTCATGAATTTATTCATAAACACTTATGTTTATTAATTATATGTTTATGCTGACTGGCTTGAATAATTTCACCCCCACCCACGTAAGTGACAGGGCATTTGGGTGGCCAGTATACTCAGAGAGGCACACAGGCAGAGCTTCTACACTCTGTGTGAGTGTGAGTATTTGTGCTGTGGACAGTGAGGTGGGAGCGAGGAAAGGAGACAGTTCTGGAAGCGGTCAAGAAAATGAGGGAGCTAATCGAGGCAGCACCAGTCCCCCTGATCACGCATTTGAACAGCCACAGAGCCTGTGCGTCAGTTCTGCAGGAGGTACAGGTGTCTGTCACTTGAAGTCCGGAGACACCGGATTTGGGTTTGTTGAGAAGTGCGACCAGCAGCCGCACATTTGAGTCACATTGGCCATGGCTGTAGGGGGTGAATTAGTTGATGCTGAATTAGTCCTTTGGGTGGTTGTAAGATGTAGTTATCTCCTGTTGATGCTGGCCTATCAGGTGGCAGAGGAAGGAGCCTAGAGATGACTCAAGGGCACTTCAGCCAGTCAGAGAGCTCGGGCCACACTGAAAACCCGTTTCCCACAAGAGCAAAATCTTGGTGGTGCTAGAAGAGACTTGGGGATGCTTCACTATAACCTACAGATTAAAATAATAGTAACAATAACAATAATAATAATCACAACCTCGCTGCTTCTGCTTTAATTCTCTTCTGAAAAAGGCGAAGCTGATTCTCGGAGCTCTGTGCAGAAGGCACGATGCCAATCCTGTCAATGATGGGGTGGGCGGCTGCTGCGGCGGCAGCTCGTACGCCTTCAGGAAGCCATGCTTTGATGACCTGCAAGTCGACGGAACTTACGCTTCTCCACCTTTATCTTGTGACCAAGTCATCGGCCTTACAGAGGACTTGTGCGGAGCGCAGGGGGAGGAACTCCAAACTGAAAAGCAAAAGTAAGGCTGTGTTCACATTTTTCTTTCCTACTAACAAGGGGGTTGATATGGAGAAATTTAGCCAGCTACTGATACGAGTCTTGCGTAATGAACACAGCAGCTAAATTTCAGTTGGAAATCAAGCGGAAATCACATTTACCAAACAAATTATCCAGTATAGCTGCTGCCTTGTGACCCCTGTTTGATCAGTTCGTGAGAATGAAGCAAATCTGTAAGAAAATGTTGGCAAAGGATAATTTAATATAATTTCTCCAAAACGTCGAAGCCTAGGCACTGGTCTAAGAAGGTGCCCTGTGCAAAAAGAAAAACTAAAAAAGTTTGGAAATCATTTACCTCCTTCCATTCTAGGAAATTAACAGCACTAAAAAGAAGTCAGAGAAATCTTGCAGTTAGGCAGTCTGGTCTGTTCTTCTTAAGAATCAGTTATGGGGCGTGAGAGGTCGCTCAGTGGTACGCCGGGCTTGCAGAAGGCCTTGGTTGTGTTCCCAGCATTCATGTCGGGTGGAAGTCAGTCACAGACTTGCAATTACAATACAAGGGATCTGAGGGCCTCTTCTGCACTCACTTACTTATAGACACATGCACTTTTAAAATCAAAATTGAGTATTTTTTTAAATAGAATCATTTAGGGGATGTCGAGATGACTCAGTGGGAAGAGGTGCTTATGCGCAAGTTTTATCTCTGGATCCCACAAGAGGCAGGGAGGTCCTCTGACCTCCACACATGTATTACTGCACACACACACACGCACACACACACACACACACACACGCACACACACACACACACACACACACGCACACACACACACTAGTTAAAAGTTTAAAATGAATAATTTAGACAACGTAACGTAGTAAGATTTTGCAGGACTTGTATGTTGAGGAGGTCCTTTGGACTGTCCCATCACAGCGGGGAATATTACCTGGTTATATGTCGCTCTATTCACCAAAGGCATCTTCAGCTGCTATTAGGAGCATCTGTTTGAGACAGTGGGGTTTCGTTTGTTTGTTTGTTTTGTTTTGTTTTGGATGATAAAAGGAGGTGACAGCTGGTGGCTGTTTGTTTTGTTTGGATGATAAAAGGAGGTGACACTGGTGGCGATGCATCACCAGTGAATGCAACTCTTCAAATCTTTGTTGTTGTTATTTCTTTTTTGAGGCAGGGTCTCATTTAGTCCAGGCTGGTCTCAACTTACTATCTAGCAAAGGATGACCTTGAACTACTGAGCCTTCTCTACCTTGGAGTTTGGATTACAGGCATACACCTGTTTTATGTAGCACTGGCGATTGACCTTGAACTCTGGACCTTGGGCTCGCTAAGAAAGAACGTGCCAACTGAGCTACATCTGCAGGCCTTCCTTTTTCTCTTGAAATTTGATAAGGCTTTGTAGTGACTTACTATAATACAAGACAGCGAGGTATCCATAGATAGTAACCATGCAAGAAATAAACCTTTCAGTGCTACTTTTTATGAAGACATAAAGTCACAGCACCATGAAAACAGGGGACTTTTTAAGTCTGCCTGACACCAGCAAATTTTGGTAACCCTTCCAAAATACACTGCATAGTTTCTTCATAAATATTCCCAGTTACAGCCACCGATTGCATCATTAGAAATGTTTAGTTATTAAGAAACACCCTTTTGCTGAATAGAAATGTTTTCTTGTCACTTCCCATTACTGTTCTACTTTTGAAACTGCAGTGAAGAGTACTTCACAGGCATTCTGTGTTGTTAAACACATATTTTCCCATATATATTTTTCTTGTTTTTTTTTTTTTATATTTTAGTATAATTACATAATTTTCCCTCCCTTTCCTCCCTCCAATAATAAGAATGGACACATTCTTACTATTTGCTGGTTAAATGAAGGTAAAACGATTACATTCTAAATCTGTAGTTGGACCTCCAGGGAGGATGAACAATGCCTTGCAAACTTGTATATGACCATGGAAATGTATATATGCCTAGAACACTTTCACTAAATATAAATTAAATATTGGTTCTTTCCATTAAAAGCTATGGTACGTTAGTGACAATTAGTCCAGGCGTGACAAGAGACTATAAGAAAGAAATCAATTTCCCCTCTAGAAATCAGGGTTTGGCGCTCCTTGGATTTGCCTGGATACAGGTAGGGACCACGTCATGGTGTGGACCATGTCATTACTCCATCAACTCCTCCCTGTAAATCTATGAGGTAGGTAACATCATCACACCATTTTAACCATGAAAAACCCAGAGGATGAAAAAGCACGACTCACTCTGAGACCGTACAACAGGTACAGGAAACAGAAGCTGAGGTCACAGAAAAACTGAAAAGAAAAGAAGAGGTAAAAAGAAACTAGAAACTGGGCATGCTGGGAAAAACCTGTGGTCTTAGGTACTCTGGACTGTGGTTGAGTCCTAAGCAAGCCTGGGCTACACAGTGAGTCTGAGGGCAGCCTGGTCTACATAATGAGGCTGTCTCCAAATCTGAAAAAAATAAAGAAAAGTCTGGAGATATAGCTCAGTGTACATACACAGTATATAGCTGAGTACATACCCTCCCAAGCGTGAGGAAGGCGTTGTCTTTATTCTGCAGTACTGAATACAAGAAAAAAAAATGATAATAAAAGTTCAAAGAAAAAAATGTAAAAGCAGGTATAAAAACATGATGCCAACCTGGGCGTGATGGCACACGCCTGTAATCCCAGCGCTCTGGGAGGCAGAAGCAGGCAGGCCAGTTCGAGGCCAGACTGGTTTATGGTGAGCCCAAGACAGCCAAGGCTACACTAGGAAGCCCTGTCTCGAAAAACAACAACAACACATTGCGAAAAGTTAATTTTAAATAGCAAACCAACAGAATTTGTTTAAAATGAATTGATAACGTAGTGAACATTGAATACTACAGAAACAACCTGGAAACAAACTGGTAGTAAGTAATAAGGGTCAAAATCGGACAAAAACTTAAACCAAAAAACCCCTGAAGTATGGAAAATACTAGGGAACCAGAGGCTGCCTGGCGAGAGACTCTGGCTGGGGAGCTGAAGAGCAGAGGAGGTGAACAACTCCAAAAGGGCCCGAGTGTGTGACCGCGGTGGGGGTGAGCCCTGCTGGAAGGCAGCACCGCCCTCCCACCCCCATCCCCGCTATAGAAACGGCGGCTTGTGTGTTCAGAGCGGCCTGATGTTCCTGTTCTGAACCTCATTTCCGGAAGTCCTGATGGGAGAGGGAGACCCATTCTTGCTTTTCAGGCAATGGGCTGTGTCCCCCTGTTTCGGGGCGAAGTTCCAAACTCAACCCTGGTGTTCTTCCTCCCTCTTCTGGCCATTGTCAGAACTGCATCCATGAAAGCAGCCAGCGGGGACGGAAAGGAAAGGTATTTCCATAGACCAGCCTGGAGCATTTGTGGGGTGTGAAGTCACGGAGATATTAGGGAACTCATAGCTGCGAGACAGAAGAGAGTGGGGGGTGTACGTGAGGAAGCTTCGTTATAGCTGAAGACTTCGTTAGGCTAGTCAAGACACCACAGCCTGCTTAGGTAGCATTTCCGTGCCAGCTAGAGCTTAGGAGACAGACGCTCCTCTGCTTTCCCAGCCCCCAGAAGCTCTGCAAGCCCTGACACCACTCTGGACTCACAGGGAGTAGCCCTGCCCTAAACCATCACCCTCCAGGCTCTCATCCCTTTCCTCTCAGAAAGGCTGATGCGCCTTCGTGGTTTGCAGGAGAAAACACGCTCTCAGTACTTTTTCAGAGACAGTCGCCACACTCCCTGTATGACTTGGAACCGAGTCTAAAGGAGACCCAGCAGGCAGCTACGGAGCCCCTTCCTGAATCCACCCACCAATTCTCTCATTACGTAGACCTCTTGTCATGGCTTTTGGGATGGAAATTCCTTTCCACAGATTTGTGAGTTATAGCCAGAGATTCTGAAAACACTGTTACAAACGCAAACTGGAGGGCACTTTCAGATGAAAACAGATTATAACACTGTCATCAGTAAAATTACGGGCACATTGCCTGGGACACAGCAAAGATGAGCACACTTGAAAGCTGACAGCTACTCACATTATTTTTAAATATTTCTTTTTAAAAACATCACACTGCGTATATTATATATATATTTTGTCATTCATTATTCTCCACAACATCTAATGACCCTATAATCCTCTATCATATGAATTTAAGCCTTTACTGTTGTTGGACGTGAAAATTATCTTCATTTTCTACTATAAACTCCTACCAAGAAATTTTGATTTATACTCTCTGTCACCACATCTGGTTTTATTTAAATCCCTTGGACATAGAACTAGAGAAAACATTAGATGAAATGGCCTGAATTCCCTTAGCTCTGCTGTGTAACTTCTCAGAAGTAGGCAAATACTATGCTTCAAAAGCCAGCCATGCCTTCTGGAAGTATTGAAAACACTGTGGCCTGTGCTGTGTCACTGCTGACAATCACGCTCCCTCAGCATTCTGTGTCCTCACCTCAGGTGAGGTGAAGGTGTGAGTTCGTGGGTAGAGAAGATAGGAACTTCTGTGTTCTGAGATAGAGTCTCACTATACAGCTCCAGCTGACCTGGAACTCCCTATGTAGACCAGACTGGCTTTGGACTCACAGAGATCTGCTTGGCTCTGCCTCCTACGTGCTGTGATTAAACCTGTAGACCAGGCTGGCTTTGAACCTACGGAGATCTGCTTGGTTCTGCCTTCCAAGTGATGGGATTTACATCCTGCCTAACAGAAACAGGACTTTTTAGGAAAGCATGCCAGTCGGGCAGGACACCAAGATGGAAGATTGCTTTTACTGCTTCACGCTGAGTCTGCGAGCTTATACTCACCCAGGGTTTGTAGGACCTGTGGGCACCATTTGAGTCAGAGTTGGGGACCCAAGAGGGCTACATTCTCCTTATCTTGCCTCTAGAGCCCAGTCTGCCTGGCTATACCAGAACCTGTGTGTTTGGGACACACGTGGCAGCGGCTGGGAGACAGTAAAGAGCAGCAAGCACTTCTGTCTTGGAAACAAAGGTCCCTGTGACCTGCCTTGTTTCAGGCCAGCTCCCCATGTTGAGACAACAGGGAGGAGAGCCATGCCTGGACCTGAGTATTATGGGGACAGAGAAATAGACCATAGCATGGCCTCTTTGTTCCCATTTGATGATAACTATCACAGCTATTTCTGCCACTTGGGGCAGCCTGTGTCATTCTAGTGAGCCAAGATGTGTGTGTGTGTGTGTGTGTGTGTGTGTGTGTGTGTGTGTTGGGGGCGAGGTGGTGGCTAGGGTTTTTCATCTCCCAATATTAGTTCCAGTTTTGTCTTTGAGTCAGAAAAGCCTGAAGTATTTACTGTCTGAACCCAGGTATAGACTGTCATAAACGCATACCCTAGAACTTTGAAGTAGTTGCTTTTATACCCATTTATTATAGCACTGGCAATTACCAGTGTGAATTTGAAAAAAAAAAAAAAAAAAGAGTGGTTTTGAGATAAGTAGTATAATACTGATTGATGCATATGTCTGCCTCTCTCTCTCTCTCTCTCTCTCTCTCTCTGTGTGTGTGTGTGTGTGTGTGGTATGTGCATGTGTGTGTAGGCATGTGTAGAGGCCAGAGGAGGACATTGGCTCCTGCTCTATCATGCTCTGTGTAATTCCTCTGAAACAGGGTTTGTCATTGGTCCAGGATCTAGGCTGGCCGTGAGGAAGCCCCAGTTACCCTTCTGTCCCTATCAACCCCACAGGGCTGGTGTCATAGACAAGGGAGGGAGGCCCAATTAGCTTCCTAGGGAGATGCTGAGATTCAAGCTTAGAGTCTCATGTTTGCACAGCAGACTCCTTTACTGGCTGAGTCATACCCCAGCTTCCTGTTTCTTATTCTTCCTTCTCATTTTCTTTGTGGTTAAATTTCTTTTGTCCAAAGCAGGTTAAAAAAAAGTTGCTAATGTAAGCAATGTTAATTAGAAGGCTTGGATGTGGATAAGTAGGAGTACATAGACCAGATTGAAATTCTAAGTGTTCGTGGTGGCTGAAATGCTCTTGCCAGCCGCAGGGGAGTCATCTGTTAGGGAAATTGCCAGGCAAGCCACTGCGTCCTCAAATCCACTCACAAGTCTTGTCCTTAACGACATGCAGGAGGCTCTCAGTTTCTGCCCCGCCAGGCTAGTGATGTTCACGTGGAAGTTAGAATGCAAAATGAAATGGGGTAGAAAAATTAGGTACTGCGCTTCACCCGTATCCAAGAAAATGGTGCGAAACAAAGTCGCTTACCTTAGCAAGAGCCGTATAACGATAGCTGACGTGATGCGATCACGATGTTAAGGAGGTGGACTCGCAGAGAGGTGTTTCTATAAAACGGACCTAGAGATGAGCATTTGTGCATGCTAGGAGACCATCGGGTCACTTTTCACTCCCTTTAACCTGAAGAGAGCCAGGGTAAGGAGATGGCAAGGATGGTGAGGAGACTCAAGGATGGTCGATGGGCCTAAATCAGTAGGATGGCCTCGCAAAGTCAGGCGCTAATGCCCCTCCCCCATGTCCGCCTCAGGCTCCTCAGTAACCTTGTGAAGCAGAAGCCGAGGGCCGGGCCGAGGGCCGCAGAGGAGGCGTTCCAGTCCGTTGGTGAGGACTTCACTCACCTGGTGGAGAAGTGCTGCCATGCAGAGAGGAGAGAGATGTGTTTTCAGGAAGAGGTACCCATTCCAGCAGACATGCGGAGGGGCTTGGGAGGGTCACTGCAAGGAAAACCTTGTCCCCATTGCGACCATGAAATTAGCAACAGTGGAAAGGAAAGACCACGGGCCGCATGGGCGGGAGTGACTGACCGTGCTATGCCCGAGCTTTGGGTGTCTTTATATTTCTGTATGTTGGGAGAAACTAAAAGAATCAGACACAAACAGACAAATAAGACACAACCACTATGGTGCCAGATGGGGGTGGTGGTGCCTAGAAGCAAGAATGGGAGGATGAACCGAAGGCCTATTCATTTAAAAATGACGAATCTAAAGAAATGAACAGTTTAAACATCTGTTCAAGACACCTGTGAGATTTTTTTTTCCAATAGGAATTTCTGGGGTCACAAACAGGAATTGTGGCTCACTGTTGTTAGAAAGCATAAGCACAATCAGGTAAAAGGGATTTTATTTCCTTAATGGGCAGAACTTCACGAACAGAGGAGCTGAGGAATGCAGAAGAGAAAAAGCAGGATGAAACTGCACACACACACACACACACACACACACACACACACACACACACACGCTAAACTATCCACCAGGAGGCCGATTTTCTATAATTAATACCACTGTACGTACTTAACAAGTAAATGATTTTTCACAGGACTGTAAAGTTGTGCAACCTGAGTTGCTCAGGATGTCATGGGATGCAGCTCAGCAAGTCTGTGGTGAGTCTCAGAGAGGAATAGTGCAGGGGAGCGGGGGGGGGGCTCCCTTGTCTGAGGACGTGAGCGAGCAGTAGACGCGATAGGCAGCAGGGTCTGTGTTGGGGCATGTGAACATGTAGTTAAGAAACAGGCTCTTGTACAGTTAGCAAGGCAGGCTGGGGCTAGTCAGGGCTGGGGCTCCTTTTAGCAGTGGCTCTCGGGAATAATTTTAGAGGTAATAGCCTTCATTATTTCTTTACCGACTCGAAGTGGCTCCCTTTTGCTTATTCTCTGGAACTTGGGCTTCCAGGCAAAGCCAAACATCTAACAGAGCTCTCTCAGCAATGGGGTTATGTGCCGATAGGTCCACTCTAAGTTGGGATAAAGATAAATTAAACATTCATCTAATATGAGTGCCAGGCAGCACAACTTAACAGGGCTATGCACGTTTGAGCTTGGTTTCTCAGCCTCCTTGAGTGGCTCAGTGGGAACTGGGGCTCACTCCTGCTACCCAGCACCTTGAGGGGATAGCACACACATTGCAAGCTTGGGGAAAGATAAGAATTCAAATTGAAGTGTGCATGGCTTTCACATGAACTGAACTAAAACAGAGAGAGCAGGAGAGCTCTAAGCTAAACCAACATAAACAACATAGATTGGGAACCATGTAGACAGTCTGTGCAATAGTAGTTAAGCTGTTGCATTTCTTCTCCTCCTCCCCTCCTTCTTCTTTCCTCCTCCTCCTCTTCCTTCTTATTATTATTTATAACTTATTCATTTTGTATCCCAATTGTAGCCCCCTCCCTCATCTCCTCCTGGTCCGACATCGTCCTCCCCTATACCTCTTCCCTAGTCCACTGATAGGTGAAGTCCTCCTCCCCTACTGTCTGACTCCAGGTACCATCAGGACTGAGATTTTTTTTTTTTAACTTATCAGCCGAAAAATTCAAATATCATTCCCTTTCTTTTTTTCCCCCTTTATTCCTTCTGAGAGTCCTTCTCATTCAAGAAGGCCACAGAAGCTATCTGAATGCTATACTTTACTAATTAAAAGTTGCTAGGATAGATAAATATTAAGTAGATGTTCCACTGCGTTCTCTCTCATTTGGTCAAGTTTACTTTTGTGTGCTCGTTTCAGGCGAGGCCTCTTAGATTTTAGCATGTATAATCTGGAAGGCTGCTAAAGCAAAGCGAGTGTGCTCTGCCAGCATAGCTGCTGATTCAGGAGGTCTGAATGGAGTCTGAAGACAGTTTCCCAGGCGCTGCTCCTAGCAGCGGTGCGGTGTGGTGTGGTGTGGTGAGGACCACACTGCTGGAGCCCTTTTTTATCTTGAAGGGTCACCCTCTTCCCCTCCCAATATTTCCGTAAGTCTGACTGTGGTTAAGAAACCAGAGCAAAGGATGAAAATAGAAATAAAGAAATCAGCTGAGCGCAGTTGGACACACCTGTAATCCCAGCACTTGGGAAGGCAGAGGGAGGCGGATCTCTGTGAATTCAAGGCCAGCGTGGTCTACAAATCGAGTCCAGGACAGCCAAGGCTACACAGAGAAAACCCTGTCTCAGAAAACTAGAGAGAGAGACAGAGATAGAGAGACAGACAGAGACAGAGACAAAGAGAGAGAGAGAGAAAAGAAAGAAGACCACTTGAAAAAACAACATAATAATGAAAAAATATGGGAGAATTGGGGGATATTAAATGAGTATTTAAGACTAGAGTATATTTTAAAACAAACAATGTCATGTATAAAGGAGCTCAGTTACCTAAAAAGGTAGCAATCAATAATGAAAATATTTTGGCGTTTGTACCTCTGGCTTCAGAGTTGGTGATCAGATTTTGGGTTTGACTAACAACGAAGAACAGTATGTTGGAAGGTCCCAAGAGTCTTCCTGAAGCTGGGATTCCAGGAGAGGGCTCAGACTGCTGGACACCTGTAGAGGCTAACTGCACCAGCACCTGGAAGCCATTTCCTTTGTTTGTTTCCATAACTGTAACTGTTCTGCCTGCTAAAAGAGAAAGTGTGTGTGCTTGAAACCTGCCCTCCTCCCTGAGGCCAGTGAGAGGGGAAAGCATTTTAGGACAAGATAGAGGAGTCACTGTAAGATGTAACCCTACGACAGAGGAAATGTTCTAAGAGGGAAAAGGAGACTAATCAAAATCAATGTCAGAATGCTGGTAAAAATAAGAGGAAAACATGGAGACAAAATAACTGGGGACCCAGTCCATGTTTCCTGATGAAGAGAGGCCTAGTGTGGAGAGCTTCCTTCCCCTCCTACCCACACACCTGGGTGAATCTGGACAGTCCAAGGAAGAAAGCTCCACAGTTCAGGAAACTATGGGCATAAAGGAATGAGCCTTAGCAGGCGCAAGGAACATATTCTATTCACAGAAGTTCCTTAGTCATGCAAAATCTCCCATGAGGAAGGAGAACCACGGAGACCCATCCATCGCCTCACAGAACGTGAGAACCAAACAAAGTTAGAGTGATTTAGCACAGGTCGGGTGTGATGGAACATAGCTGCTAATCAATGTGGAATGAAAAAGAAAGGTGAAGCTTTGCTCTGAGATGTGTCCTAACACACGCTCCTGCAGAAAGACTCGGTAATTTTAATAGTGGAGATTGTATAGATGAGTCCCCCCAGCTTAATGGGTCTACTGTCAAAGCTACTGCGAACGGTAGGATACAATTGTGAAGGAGAAATGGTGATCTGATTAAGCAGGATGATTAACTAAGTATATATCGATCAGGTCACACTGAGTTACTGACGTCAGTTTCTTTTGGTAAATTATGTGTTTGAATATTAAGTAATATATGATGTGGCTCAGAACACCTCAAGAGGAGCAAAGAGGAGAAGGGCACATTCCTTGTTCTAAGAGACAAATCTTTAAGTCTTTTCATCCTTTTTTGATTATAATCTTGGAATAATTTTAAGAAATATTATCATCACTTAATTAATTTGGTGTTAATTATAGTGAGTGTTAACTTACACTCACACTGACCTCCACCTCAAATCTGTCTATGTCTGTCTGTCTATCTCTCTGTGTGTCTGTGCATCTGTCTGTTTCTCTCTCTTTCAGTTAAAGTATTATTAGTTCACTAATTGATTATATTCTAGCTTTTGGTCTGTTAACTTGACTTAGCATCTCATGATTTTCCTGGACCTAATTAACCTGTCTAAACTTTCCTCACTTCCAAATGCAACCATTCTCATCTTGTAATGGTGAGAAGTCATAAAGGTAAGAAGGGCAAGAAATCATTCCTTCCACGTTGCCTGGTTTAAAGAACCTGCTTCTTAACTGTAATGCGCATGTTCTCTGCTAACAGGCTGCTACTAAAAATTAGAAGCATGTAGTCTCTTCCATGGCAGGCCTACTTGAAATATTATTTACAATAACAGGCTGGGCTGTTGACGGTTGGTGATTTCTCCTGTTATCTTTTAAAAGATGTCACAGTGAAGTCGTGTCTCTTTTGTAGTCTACCATTGCTGGCATAAAAGTATGCCACATCTGTTTAGTTTTATAATTTGAAGTTGTAGTTTCCTGATACCTACTTTCTTCTCAGAATGAGAGTATTTAATTGCCCTTTCCCATGCTCTAACGCCCCCCCCCCCAAAAAAAAAAAAAAAAAGAAAAAAGCACAAAGCAGCTTCTTTCTACCACACCATTGGAATAGCTCTGGGTTTTACTTATGTAGTTTCTGTAATAGAATGTTGCATTTTCTTTCAGTTTGGACTGAATTGATTTTAGATTCAATTATTGGCTGGCCCCATGGGGTTATCTTCTTCACAAAGCTTTGGGAAAACTGGAGTGCTTTATTATCTTATACTTGGCTCCTTTTTTGATTGATTAAGGTTTTCTGAGCAGCATATTCTAAACTTATGTCTGTCAGTATGCATGTTGGCATCTTTTTTTTCAGGATGAATACCTAGGAGAAAACCATTGTGTATATTTACACACACACACACACACACACACATGGAAAGAGAGAGAGAGAGAGAGAGAGAGAGAGAGAGAGAGGAAGGAAGGAAGGAAGGAAGGAAGGAAGGAAGAAAGAAAGAAAGGAAGAAAGAAAGAAAAAGTTAGGATTGAAATTAAGGTCTCACTCATGGTAGGTAAGTGCTCTACCACTCAAGTATACTTTAGACAGGGTCTCACTAAGTTGCCCGGACAGGCCTTGAACTTGTAATCCTCCTGCCTTAAGTTCCTGAGGGCTGGGCTTACAGGCCTGTGCTACTACAGCTGACATTTGGTTTTTCAAAGATTATTTTCTCCACATATTTGCACAGTGCTCTTTCTGGTCTGCCAGTAGAAATTCCTTAATTCTAAATAACAGGATTAAATTCTGGCTAACCTGAAGGAAAACAAGCTTATTGAAAGGACATTGGTAGCTCCAGACTCTGGGAGGTCAGGAGGGTGGTGGATGCTTATAAGGGCCAGTCCTTGAGAGGCTGAAACCAGAAGACCCAGGTTCAAACCAGCCTCAGGCACTCAGGCAGGCTGGCTCTTCTCAGAAATGGAAAGGAGGGAAGGAGAGGGCAGTGAGGGTTGAAGAGGTGCACCTCAGAGCACTCCAGCCTTTTGCTGCTGCTACATCTTCCTCCGTGGCTGTTCAGAGCTCCCAGCTCCAGCATCAGTCACAGCTGCCTTCTTTTTAAAACTCAAATTGACAAGCACCCGGTTGTTTGTTTGTTTGTTTGTTTGTTTTAAATGTTATCAGTTTTTTAATTGGTGATTGTATTTTCTTTTATTTTCTAAATCATCAATGGGATTTTATTTATTTTTTTTTGTAATATTTTAGTTATACTGTAATATCAGAATGGATGGAAAACTTATTGCTATTGTACTTTTGGAGTGTGGTACGGGTATCCATATGTCTGTGTACCTATGCACATACATACACAGGCCACGGGAGGATATTTGTGTTCTATTACACGCTGCCTTATTCCTTTGAGACAGCGTTTCTCATTGTACCTGGAGCTCACAGTCTGGGCCATCGCAGGCCTAGGGAGCCTCCTGTCTCTGCACTCTGCACTGAGGTCACAGGCTTGCATGACCGCTCTCAGCTCTTACCTGGATGCTGGGAATCCAAACCCAGGACTTCATACAAGGGCTCTTACGGAGCCATCTTCTCATCCCTAAGCACGTCTCAAAAGGGAATCAGCAAACTGTTCCATGCAGGATGGAAGCTGGGTAATTCCTTCTTCTCATAGACGCTAGTGTAGGTGTGCTTAGCAGTCTACAGCAGGCCTGGCGTCGCAGGAGGCCACAGAGGGGAGATCTTGACTGTGTAAGGAAGATAAGGAAGAGACTTCTTTTTTCTCCCGTCTTTCTTTCTTTCTTTCTTTCTTTCTTTCTTTCTTTCTTTCTTTCTTTCTTTCTTTCTTTC